TTTCCCCCTCAGTCCCGCAGTCCTGCCATAAGTCGCTGATCGCCGCCATAAATCACTGATCGCCACCATAAGTCACTGATAGCCGCCATTATTAGTATAAAAAAAAAATTAAAAATCCCAGTATCTTTCCTGCCATTTGTAAACGCTATAACTTTCACGTAAACCAATTAATTTTCACGTATTGGGTTTTTTTTAGCAAAGACCTGTTGCAGAATGCATTTTGGCCAAAATTTATGATGAAATTTGATTTTAAAATTTTGTTTACTGGACATGTTTTATAGCAAAAAGTCCAAAATATAGTTTTTTTTCTCAAAATTGTCAGCCTTTTTTTTATAGCGCAAAAAATAAAAAACGCACAGGCAATCAAATACCACCGAAAGAAAGCTCTATTTGTGTGAAAAAAAGGACATAAATTTCATTTATGTACCATATTGCATGACCGCACAATTGTCCGTTAAACTAGCACAGCGCTGTATAGCAAAAAAATGGTGTAAATTGCAGTATCTATAGTATACCATAGTTTGTAGACGCTATAACTTTCACACAAAGCAATCAATATACACTTATTGGGATTTTTTTTACCAAAAACATGTAGGAGAATACATTTTGGCCTAAATTTATAAATAACTTTGAGTTTACTATATATTTTTTATATAGCTGAAAGTAAAAAATATTGTTTTTCTTCAAAATTTTTGGTCTTTTTTTGTTTATAACGTGAAAAATAAAAAGCACACAGGTGATGAAATACCACCGAAAGAAAGCTCTATTTGTGTGAAAAAAAGGACGTTCGTTTGGGTGCAGCATTGCATGACCGCGCAATTATCAGTTGAATTAGTGCAGCGCCGAGTAGCAAAAAGAGGCCTGGTCATTAAGGGGGGTAAATCCTCAGGAGGGCAAGTGGTTAATTTGTTATTCAAGTCCATTTTAAATTTCCTAGAGATGTGCACGATGGAAACATTTGTGTCGTTTTGGATTAGTTGGTTACGTTAATAATTTTGTTTCATCATATTCGTTATGTTAGAATGAATCGTTTTCAGAATTTGTTTTCTATATTGTGACTTGTTTTGTATATGTGTTATTTTCAAATCGATTCAAATTTTCAAATTTCAGAACATGGTTATATTTGTTCTATTTTATTATATTATGTTTTTCCATTCTATTCTATTCTTTTCTATTTGATTTGATTTTATATTCTATTCTTTTCTATTCTATTATGTTTTATTCTATTACTTTCTATTCTATTCTATTCTGTAATATTTGTTTTGTATATTCTGACTTGTTTTGTATATGCGTTATTTTCAAATCGATTTGAAATTTGAATTTCAAAAGATGGTTATATTTGTTCTTTTCTGTTTTTCCATTCTATTCTATTCTTTTCTATTTTATATTATTCTATTCTATTTTTTTATTGTATTTAATAATCTTTTCTATTCTATTCTATTCTGTTTTAGTCTATTACTTTCTTTTCTATTCTATTCTATTCTGTGTTATGCTATTATATTCTGTTTTATTCTATTCTATTCTAATCTAATCTATAAAGCAGCCTAAGTAGGAATCATCATCTTATTATACCTTACTGTAGTTATTGCAATAGATTTCCATTTGGAATTCAAATTCGTTTTCAAATTAGAATTTATTTTTTAATTCATTTTCTAATTCAAATTTGGATAATTCATTTCGTTATAATTTATTTTGGATTCATTGAAATTCGTTACTATTGTGATTTGGAAATTTGGATACATCCATATCTCTGAAGAACGAAAATTTTGTCAGAATTTCGATTCGAAACGAAACTATTTGCACGTCTAAAATTTGCTAGTGCCTCTAACACTGCCCTATGCATAGGCTGACAATGCTAGAGTCCAAGAGTAACTAAATAGAAAAAAGACCGCTCTTCCTTAATTAATAATAAATTAATAGTTAATACAATTAATAATAAATACAAACTATAGAGCAGCACGTCAATCAGCCTATGCATGGACCAAAAATCACAAACAAAATAGGGCCTGTTTGGGAAAAGGAAAAGCACTTGTTGTTTTATATTATTATTATTATACAGGATTTATATAGCGCCAACAGTTTGCTCAGCACTTTACAATATAACGGGAGACAATACAACAACAATACAGTTCACTACAAGAGGGATAGGAGGGCCCTGCTCCTTGGAGCCTACAATCTTTATATCATCCTGCACTTTGTGGCTGAATATCGTGGGCACAGAATACATCTATCAGTTATGTTTATTTAATTATCTGTTTTGTATAACACTTTTCACTATAATTTGCACTTCATTCATAGTGAAATCAGGCACTTTATTATAGATCTATTATAGATCTATTTGTGTTATATATTGTTGGCATATACTGTATATCAAGTGTTAGTAGGTATTTTTCATAGTTTGCACATAATTTATGTGGTATCAGGCACTTTTCAATATTTATATTGGCAAAGAGCATGGTCCTATTTGATAATGTCCAAGAGTGGCTGTGTTGCTCTCCATACAGTGGCGAAATCACCAAGTGAAAATAAACGGAAAAAAAGTAGAAAAAAAAGCAAACTAATGCGGCCACCTCATTTAAAGACTGCTGAGCTCCAGTACATTACAATATATTACATTTTTGCGTATGGCTTAAGGTATACTTTAAGCTTCCCAGATAACAGTAATAGGGAATGCTCACTGCTCGCTCATGGAGTTTTCCTCTCTCGTGATCACTGGTTTGCCTGATCGCTATATCTGTATGAACACAATGATGCTTTTGATTTGCCACTCGGCAGTACGTGCTGTGTTTGGGCATGATTGCTTGCCTGTAGATGACAATGAAGGAAACCAGTGCGTAGAGGAAAGTAACTTCCATTTTCACCATCTAAATGGTGAAAATAGAAGTCACTGCATTAATACTGGTTGCAGGATGTTAAATTAACACAAGATGGCAGTGTTCTGCGGTTCAGTTAACCAGATTCTATTGAAGCAAAGCCTTGTTGAACTTGTATGCTGGCACCAGGACTGCTGCTCTCAGACCAGGGGCGGACTGACCATTTGGAAACTCGGACACTGCCCAAGGGCCCAGGGTCAGTAGGGGGCCCCATGAGATGCCCCTGGTACCTTTTTCATAGGCTTTTTTGAGTTTGGGCAAAAACACAGGGGCCCCATGATCCCCTATTGTCCGGGGCCCTATGAGTTGTCAGTCTGCCCCTGACTCAGACAAAGAATCAGACTACATTTCCCAAAAGAGCTGGCAAAGGGGCAGGAGCATATACAGTGGGGATCGAAAGTTTGGGCACCCCAGCTAAAAATTTGTATTAATGTGCATAAAGAAGCCAAGGAAAGATGGAAAAATCTCCAAAAGGCATCAAATTACAGATTAGACATTCTTATAATATGTCAACAAAAGTTAGATTTTATTTCCACTGCTTTAGTGTCTCAATCCAATCCAGAAACCTCAGGACTTTGGCTACAGCTCACGTCCCTGCAGACTGGATTACACTAGTACAGGGGTCTGCAACCTTTAAGACATAAAGAGCCACTTGGACCCGTTTCCGAGAGGGAAAAAAAGACTGGGAGCCGCAAAACCATTGCAACAATTAAAACAAATCCGACACTGCATATATTGCAAAAAACGCTCTGGTCATGAAGGGGGTTTAAGGGCCCAGTAAGCAAAGGGTTAATCAGGGCCACAGTGTATCGTCATAATCACAATCATAGCCTTAGGTCAGTGGTGGGCAACCTTTTTTTTTCGACTGAGCCAAATCTCGCCAAAACCACGATTGAAATTTATTTTGAGAGAACCATTTTTAAAACTGAAAATACATCCCCCATATAGTAATTCATCCCCCATATAGTAATTCATCCCCCATATAGTAATTCATCCCCCATAGTAATTCATCCCCCCTATAGTAATTCATCCCCCATATAGTAATTCATCCCCCATAGTAATTCATCCCCCCTATAGTAATTCATCCCCCCCTATAGTAATTCATCCCCCATATAGTAATTCATCCCCCGTAGTAATTCATCCCCCATAGTAATTCATCCCCCCTATAGTAATTCATCCCCCCTATAGTAATTCATCCCCCCTATATAGTAATTCATCCCCCATATAGCAATTCATCCCCCCTATAGTAATTCATCCCCCATAGTAATTCATTCCCATATTGTGTGAATTCACTTACCTTTGCTCCGCGCGTTCCTCTCGCTGGGTTCCCGCGCCGTTCTGGTCTTCAGGGCGGACTGTGAGAGGAGAGGAGTTCGTCACGCTGCCCCGCCTACATCCGGGCTGCCCCGCCTACATCCTGACAGCCAATGTTTGCCAGCGGGCGCCCGGCACACAGAAGATCTGCATTAAAAGAGCCGCGGCTTGCCGACCCTATTGCCTGTCACCTGGTGGGCAGTGTGCTCCGGAGCCGCAGGAAAGGTGAAAAAGAGCCGCATGCGGCTCCAGAGCCGCGGGTTGCCGACACCCGCACTAGTATCTCCTTTCAAGCCTCTTCCAACTCCAAAGAAACTTGCTTCACCAGACTAGCTCACCATCTTTAGGGATTCAACCTCTGCTGAAGTCTAAAACATTAGCATTTGGTGGTGGTAAAATGATTGTATTTCTAACTTGTCCAAACAATGTATGCATGTCACGTATAGGTGCATACACGCATACAGCATTAATGCAGGCCCATTGTTCACTAGGATGCAGGTGGTATTCACTGCTGGGCCACAGTGCTTTGTTGCTAACGTACAGGCAGCTGGTGTTGCCTAGCATCCTTCATTGCTAGGACACAGGCAGCTGATGTATTCCAGTAGAGTACTGTACATTTGCAATGTACTCATGTAATCATTAGCAGAAATCTACAGCTTAAAATATGATCCATATGCAGGACCGTGGATGCAGTTTTCTCTATTTTGATTTCATGGATCTGAATTTGTGAATTAAACCTAATGTAACCTAAATCAAGACCCATATACAGTATATATGATTTATAGTATAATGTGGCATATTATTTTATTTTAGGTTCAAAGAATCAAGACTCCCAAGCAAATAGATGAATTAATTGAAATTGAGACAGACACAGGGACTTGGTACAAGAGATGCTTTGTCAGGATTCGCACAGAGCTGTATGGTGTAAGTTATTTTCTTTATTTGTTAATATTTAATACATTTGCAAATATACCTTCCATCTGAATAGATATTTGTATATAAGCAACATCTATTATCTTTCTGTATGATACAACTGAAGACAATAGTTAAAATCTTAAATTATTACTTGTTCAATATGTGGCTCTGGATTTCAGCAAAATGGCAGCCTCCATTTTGGTAACATGATTATTTACCGCTTCCCGACTGCCCTATACCAGGGCTACGCAAAATCATGTATATATATATATATATATATATATATGGGATTTTGTATTTCTGGGTTGACGGTTACAGCTGTCGATGTAACCTTCGATGGCCTTCGGTGTATTAAGCAGTTTCACACTGTATGTTGTTTGGACAGTTCACCTGTTTAATAGTTTCTCCTCATTTATCTTGTTTTTTTTTTTTCTCTGCTCTTCCTCTCTTGACTCCTTCCCCCTTTTTTTTTTCCTCTTTCTCTTTCTCCTATATGTTCTCCCTCAACCAACTATGACTCTGATTAAATTTTCCTCTATTAATTGCAGGGCTTTAACACTCCGGAGAGGCGGAGCCAGATGCTCTACCATTTCCATAAATGTGGAACGCAGATCTTGCTACTCCAGGAGATTCATTTTCACTCCGGTGGTATCCCAGCCCTTCACAATCGTCACTATACTCAGTGGTATCATAGTACTAATCTGCAGGCTAGGTCTAGGGGGGTGTCGGTGATCTTTCATCATACCTTTGGACCGGAGGTCCTGGACTCCTTAATTGATCCAACTGGTCGCTATCTCTTCCTTAAATTGAAATACAAAGATTTTGTTTTTACACTGGCGAATATTTATGCTCCCAATATAGATCAGGCTTCGTTTCTAGGCTGTCCGCTTTTGGGGGTCCCTGTTTCATCGTCGGAGGGGACTTCAACGTAGCTTTTTCTCCAGACTTGCACACTTCAGTGGGTAAATCTTCTCTCTCCTTGTCAGCCTTATCTCAACTTAAGTCGCGTTATCATGACTTACACCTAGTGGATGTTTGGCGCATCCAGCATCCTTCGGAACGAGACTATAGTTATTACTCTGCAGCTCATTCATCATACAGTCGTATAGACTATTTCTTTGTTTCACAGTCTTTTCTAGATTGTCCTATTTCATCCTCTCTCAGTCATTTCTTATGGACAGACCACACCCCAGTCCATCTTACGACTCAGGACCGACCGTCGTCTTTGCTTCGCTTTTCATGGCGCTTGAACGATACCCTACTCAAAGATTCTCTATGTGTCGCTGAGGTTGTGAAGACTATCCAGGACTTTATTCTAGACCACACATCGGACACTACTGGCCCTCTTAACCAATGGGTTCTTAAGGGTGTTCTTTGAGGGGTTCTTATTAAGCATAGCTCTCGCTTGAAAAAAGCTTGTACATCGGAGATGCGTGGTTTATTTTCGCTCATTGCATGCCTTAAATCACCCCACAAACGTACGTTGGACCAGGTGCTTGCGGTGGACTTCTCTAACGCTCGTAGAGATTTACTCCAACTACTAGATTCCTCCTCCCTTGTTGCACGAGACAAAGCACGCAATACTCATTACTCTCTAGCTAACAAATGTGGTCAGCACCTGGCGCGTGTACTCCACCCTCGACCATCCCGTCGTCCGATCCAGCACATTAAGGCACCTGACGATACTAAAATCTATCACAATAAGGGCATCTGTTCTGCGTTTGAGCGCTACTATTCTCAACTCTATAACCTCTCTGTGGCGAATCTTGATGCTCCTCCCATTTCCTCCCTGCTGGCTATGTCCCAATATATTATGGAGACGGCGTTACCTGTTCTAGACCCCCCAAGATGCATTGGATCTGGAGGAGCCCTTCTCGATTATAGAAGTTCTTGGGGCCATTAAGGCCCTGAAAACTGGTAAGTGCCCGGGTCTGGAGGGATTCACTCCACGCTTTTACAAAACATTCACCACCCAATTAGCCCCGCTTCTGGCCCAAGCGTTTAATGTTATCAATGATTTGAATGTACCTTGCTCAGCTTTTTTGTCCGCCACTATCTCGGTTATTCCTAAGCTGGGTAAAGACCCTTCTCATTGCGGTAGTTATCACCCAATTTCCCTACTTAACCTGGACGTTAAGCTTTTTGCTAAACTTTTAGTGAACCGTCTTTCCCCTTTCCTACCAACCTTGATCCACCACGACCAGGTTGGCTTTGTCCTGGGTTGTGAAGCTAGGGATAATATCTCTAAAACAATTCATCTTATCTCTTATATCAAGCAACACGGCTTAAAGGCTTGCCTACTTTCATTCGACGCTGAGAAGGCGTTCGATCGCGTCAACTGGCGCTTTCTCAGTCTTATCTTGGAACAGATCGGTTTTGGTTTGCAGTTCCTTCCTTATGTCCCTCTATTCTCATCCTTCTGCGTCTGTCCTGGTCAACGGTATGGTTTCTTCGCCCTTTCCCATATCGAATGGGACCAGACAAGGATGTCCCCTTTCGCCCCTTCTCTTTGTTTTAATAATGGAACATCTTGCGAGAGCTATACGAGCTAACGACTCAATCTTGGGCATGCACACTCCCTCCGCACATCATAAATTATCCTTATACACTGACGACCTTCTAGTTTACGTTCAACAGCCACTTATTTCCCCCCCAGTCTTTTCCACGAATTTTGTAGATTTCATTCCTTCAGAAACCTTTAAACTTAATATCTCTAAAATGGAGGCCCTCAATATTTCTTTACCTCCCCATGTACTAACGAACCTTCGGCCTAACTTTTCATTTCAATGGCGTTTGAAGGCTATCACTTACTTGGGGATCCAGATTTCGGCCGATCTTATTTTCCCTTAATTATTATTACCCTTACTTTCGTGTATCCAATGGGATTTGGCTTCATGGGGTGCTTCAGCCCTGCCCTGGTTCGGCCGCATCAACACCCTTAAGATGGATACTTTGCCTAAGCTACTATACGTTTTCGGACTGTACCGATTACTGTCCCTCTGAGTTTTTTCCTTTCATTATGCTCCCTTTCGATTAGATTTATTAGGCACCGTGGGTTTTCCAGGTTAAAACATAGGTTACTTACTTGACCGAAACTGGAGGGCGGAGTGGGTTTACCGGACTTTGAGCTTTACTACAGAGCCACGTTACTAGTTCAGATGCTTGATTGGTTTCTAGACCCCTCCGTAAAGCCTCTTGTATGATTGAACAGGATCTCTCTCAGGTTGATCTTCGGGCATTACCATGGGGGCATAATCGGGAATATTTGCGCTTTCCTGGCTTGTCCCCTTTGACTTTAGCTGTTCTGCGGTTGTGGTATATAAACGAGGCATGATTACTCTTTTATCTTCCGATCCCTCTCCCTTATCACCACTATTTGATAACCCCACTCTTCCTCAGGGGTTGGGCTCTTCCATTATTGGACCCTTCACACGCGCTTCCTGGCCCGTGGCTCAGGACTATATCTGCCCCCAATCGGGTCTTCTGCTCCTTCAGGGTGGGTCTAGGGATTGGTTAACCACTCTGCACCTATCCTCCTTTTGCAAGCACTTGCATTCTTCCTCCAACATTCATTGCCCACTTTCTGAGATTGAGCGGCTGTGTTCCCTCTCTGACCCACTGAGACACGTCCTAGCTTCTCTCTACAAAGTGCTCCACAATGCTCTTCACTCTGAACTTCCTCCTTACACTAAGGCGTGGGCTTGAGACCTAAGTAAGGACATTTCGGTGGAAGACTGGTCCACGTCATTCCACTTTACTCATAAATCGTCTATTTCTTGCTACTCACAAGAAAAGAATTTTAAGCTTCTTTCTCGATGGTACAGGGACCCCCTCTCTCTACACAAAATTTTTCCTTCTACACCTGATCTTTGTTGGTGCTGTAATAGAGCTGTTGGTACACAGCTCCACATTTGGTGTGATTGTGATCAAATTCAACCCTTCTGGTGACAAGTCTTTGCTGTATATAACTGGGTCTACGGTGAGTCCTTGGCCCCTTCGTTGGAAATTGCCCTTCTATCTATATTACCGGGCTCACAGGCAGCACAGAAGAAAGGCTGTTGCGCTTCTTTCTGTCTGCGGCCCGCCAATTGATACCTCTCTTTTGGAAAACGGCAACCCCCCCTCCTTTCCCGATGTGGGTCTCTGTGCTTAATGATACCATGCGTATGGAGGATATGCTGGCGTTTACCAATGATACCTATGATAAACATAAGTTGCTGTGGTCGATCTGGCTCCATTTCGTGGAGTTGAGCCTTGCTCCCACAACTACTTTTCATTTTGGCCTATCCGCCGATTGGACCCTGCGGTCTGTGCCGAGATGCGGGCAGCGGGGTCGCTTTGGTGAGATTCGGTTGAGGAACCCTACTGTTGCTTTCTACTATCCCCGTCTCCCGACCCCTCTCTCCTCTCTCTTCTCCTCTTTTGCTTTCCTTTCTGCTGGCTTTTTTCTCCCCCCACTTTTTTTTTTCTTTCCCTCAATTTCTGTTTCTTTTTTTTTTAGTTTTCATTTTTGGTTGTATGGAGTTCTCTCATATTGTTTCAGACATCTCACACGGGGAAGCCCTCCTGATACTTTATTATATTATACCTCCGTAATATAAGTTATTTATCCTCTCTTCTTGCAGTTTTACTGCATCATTTTCATACATCCATATGGATGATACTCTCATCTGTGATGTTTTTTTTTTTGTTTATTTACTTGTACAAGCTCTTTATACTTCTCATGTTACGTCTGTTAAATTTATGCAAAATAATAAAGACGAATTTAAAAAGGGGCCAAACAACTATGTGATAATAAATGGCTTCATATGATCACTATTCTTAAATAACAGACAGTTTTTTTTTAGCATGATCAATCATATTTTCAATAATAATGCCAAAATTTCACGATTTCTGCCAGGAGATGCAAACATTTGAGCACAACTGTATACCTGTTTACAGTATCACATTGTAGGAACACATTGTATGTCTGCAGTGTTCCCATTTACACTTTGACTTTTTAAAACATT